CCACCGTAATCTCCTGGCCCGCAGCGTGGAATCTGCCCAAGAGGCACCTTGTTCACCTTAGCCCAGAGGGGCTTGAATTGAGTATAAGTGGCAGTTTCCAGAGGCTTAAGTTATTCTGAACCCATGAAACAATTTTAGAAAGAGATCTATCAACTACAGTAGAGGAGACATAGAGTTTAAGCTTCCAACCTAATAAGAAATTTATCTCCTTAAACAATATCCACATTTATTTCCAGCCACACTCAGCTCTGCAAGAGAAATCACATGCCAAGGATAGTGGAGAGGGCTTCCCTGGTGGCGCAGTGGTTGAGAGGCCGCCTCCTGATGCAGGGGACACGGGTTCGTGCCCCGGTCCGGGAAGATCCCACATGCGGCGGAGCGGCTGGGCCCGTGAGCCATGGCCGCTGAGCCTGCGCGTCCGGAGCCTGTGCTCCGCAACGGGAGAGGCCACAGCGGCGAGAGGCCCGCGTACCGCACACACACAAAAAAAGATAGTGGAGAATTTGTGCTAAAACACAGCTTTGTTTGAGGCATAGTTTGCTTCTGTCTTCTTATATCATCCCTATTTACATCAACAATGTTGAATAAAAAGCTTGTGCAGAGGTTCCCTACGCATAAAGGCAAGCTGTTTTTCCAATAAAATAATTAACTGCAAATATACGTTTGTAGATCAGACAAGGTTTTTTTTTTTTTGCTTAGAAAAGTCTGTTACGTTGCTTTGGGATTTTTCTGATCACTCACGATCTAAGCTTGAGCCACCCACACTGTGCTTGACTCTTCCTCCCCCCTCTCCTCCATTTCCATTCAGCAACTGATATCGGCAGCCTAAAATCCCATATCGTCGCAAGCTGTAACCGCAGGCTTCTAAGTGCTTTTCTTAGCTCCACACTCTCCCCTGTCATAATACACCCCACATGTAGTAGTTTAGGGGGTAAAACAATGATTTTATCCTTTTACACTCCTCCTCAGGGCAAGTTCTGAAGACTTCCCTAACTCCCATTCTAGCTTTATCTCCCACTACATGTATGTAATCTCACATTACATCAATATGGCATGTATACCTCACCGTGTCGCGTGGATGTGTTTCTGAAAAGCTGATATTTAAATTTACTTAGTTAAAAATGCCTGAAAGATTTGTAAACAAAACTAATAAAAAAAAATGAAAAGCTTTTTTAAGGAAAATATTGCATGAACAATGACAAATTATGTCTGTGCAACACAATTGTTGTTAAGTATTGCTTTTTATGTGTCACTTTTCTAAAAACCTGGCTGTTTCTGGAGCAGGGGGAGCCATTATTTCTTGGTGACCTTTACGTCCTCACGTGTGAAGTCTCTGTTCTAACACGCTTAAGAGGCTCTTTCCTGCACTAGGCTTGTTTATAAAGGAAAGCAGACAGCTGTTCAGTTGCTTGGCAGCCGCAGGTATTTCTGTGGGATGCCTTTGGACACAAAAAGGCTGGATTCCCCCGCTGGGTGGAATTTTATCAACTCTGTGAGAGAATTTCTTTGCGGTCCTTTTCTCTATTGTACATAATATATACTGATGATTGGTGTGAAAACCAAGTCTTATAACATTTTTTAAAAGCCCAAGCCTTAACAGTCTTAGAAGTTTAGAAGCATCTAGGACATCTTGCACCTATCCACCAACTTTCAAAAGCAGCACATCTTTCGTATAATAAAATTTTCAGTAATGCTACATAATAGGAAAATACATCCCACCTTTATCTGTTTTATATTATTTTACAGGGTGTTCCAGATGTTACAATTAAAATACACATTAATGTTGTTTTAATGCACCCATTGAGCAGCCTCTAGACTGTAGACTGAGCAAAGAGGACACCATTCTATTCCCACTTTCCTTAGAATAATGTTCTTTAGCCCCCAGTTGGCCTCTCACTCCTGTGAGGATAATGCCCCTATTTTCTCTTTAGTTTCTATGGTATTTAAATGACTGCCAAACATACATTGGCTTGACTATATTTGTTTAACCTCCCTCACTAAATTATAAATATAGTTAGGGCATTATGCAAATAAAAAGAGGCAAAGGTAAATTGAGTTTATACTTTATTAAAATCAAACGATTCTTACAACCCTGAAATGTATATTCAATAATGTTGTGTAACTGTACATTGTTCTTTATAAAACTTCAGGTCATGTCTGATTAAAAAACACTTGGACTATATCCTAAATGTCCAGTGATTTATGAAATTTCTTAATGACCCATGGCACATTCTGAAAGACATCAGAGAGTAGGGATAGCACTGTGATCCCTTTCCCTTGGAAGTGCTGGATCACTAATGGAATTCTGCATTTTGCAACTCTCCCAATCCTGGAAGTTTTGCTAACAGGAAGTGCAGCTAGGTGTGCCTTCGCTGGAAAGCTAACTTCTTAAAGCTCTCTGTGTAGCTTCTACTGTGGCCCTCAAGTACTTCCTCAGGGTACGAGAACCACTTCTAAGCAGAAATGAAGGTAGAGTCAAAGGGGACAAGAGAAGAGAAGGGGGGAAATGCTGACTCCTCACCTCTCCCCGTGAGAAAATCACATGAAACAGCTGCAGGACCCATGAAAGGATTGCCTATCTTATATTTGAAAACTATAAAATAATGTGATTCCATTGGGAAAAAAAATCAATAGTACCTAAATGCAAACAGTAATCACTGGATTATTATAACCAAAAGTGTGACTAATACTTTTGTTTGTTTTCCACTAAGGTAACATATCTGTTTGATAATGGAGGGACAGTCTTCTTTGCTATTTTTATGGCAATATGGGGTAAGTATGTTCTTTCATTGCTTACTTCCTGGCCCTTGTTTTCTGAGGCTGTTGCTATGTTTATTCATACCCACCATACATGCACACACGCAAACACACATACCATGTATCAATTCAACAGTAAAATCTCTTGTTTCATATGCCCTCATCACACATTCACTGCTTCTTTGGGAATTTAACTCTTGATTTAATCTTCTAATCCCTAAAGCCTCAACCTTCCTATACTGTGGAGTATATTTTTCCTGCCAAAAACCGGCAGTAATTGAAAACAAACTGAAATATACTAGAATCCAAATTAAGCTTCTTGTATTTTCACTTGTGAAAGTGATACTCAGAAAATGTTTTGTTTGCTTAAGGCTTCCATTATATATATTTTTAACCTTACATTTTATGCACTTAGAGATGCAGAATCTATTCCATATATGATTGAGCAATAATGTCTAATACAAAATAAATCCTGTTCCTATCCAGCATCTTAAAACTGTAAAAGTTATGTATAGGTATATGTATTGGCTGACTTTTTCCACTAAGTTTCTCACTGAGTTTTTAAAGAACCCAATTAATTGTGGCCTAAATTAAACCACAGATTGGAATTCCCGATGCTTTGAAGAGAAGTGATCACTTTCCTGGTTAGGGTCAGCTTTCCTACCATAGTCTGTTGAATGCAAAGTCACTGTCAACTTGGCAACTCAAGGGGCTGACTATGTACCTGCTGATACAGAAAAGTAAAATGTACTAGAATTCAAGCCTCTCACTCCTGTTACTTTAATTTCCCAGGAACAGAATCTGTGCCATACTCTCTTTCTAGCTTTAAGTGAAAATTAAAAAAAAATAAAATCACCCTTCCAATTTTCCTTCAGAAAAATGCCAATCTTGATATATGGTATTATGACTACACGGGGAGCAGTGAAGAGTCAATTCACCCCCCCAAAAAAAGTAAAAATGTAATCTGGGGTCCCTATTTTCATTGAAGGATTTTTTAATTAAATTATCAGGCGGGGCAATCATGGTGAAATCTTTCAGTTTTACCTGATTCCACAAACATTTCCTGCTAAGAAAAAAATAGACCAAAATATAAATTAAGGTTACTCAATAGATGATTCAGCACAGTGAGAAGTGGAAGAAAGGAAACCTTTTGGATGATTTATCCTCTATGTTTCTGCTACTCGTCTCATGCTTTTACAGTTCTCTTTGGCACAGGCCACATGAGAGTGATCTTGCTTCAGCTTTTGGATGATGGATTTGAAAGGCCAGGATATAGTGAACATTTGCCATCTGAAGCCTTTTTCCCCTTAGTTTTATACTGAGGTACGAAGTGGAGGTATGTCATCCATAGGAATGCCATCCCGTGCATTTTCTCGGCCTGCTGGTGTAGATGAATCATTCGCAGTTGGGTTATAATAACTAGAATTTCCAAAACTCACATCATAAGGTTCCGGTGCATTATCTAATCGCAGAACTAAAAAAGCAACAAAAAAATTGCTTTATAGTGACAGTCTGGAAGATGCATGCTCAGGCATCTGCTAGACTGTAGGAATTGTTCTGGATGAGTTAGTTACACGTTTTTATATGGGATTTTCAGAGATTAGTTTTGAATTTTAAATAAGTACATATTTTGCGAGCCACATTTTTCTTCTAAAACTATGAACAGTTTAACTTCCAAAATTTCACTGTTGGTGGTCCAAAAATAAAGGAACTAAGGGAGAGATCACAACAGAAATATAGCAATACTTTATATAAAGAAGTATTGACATGTCTCATTGACTTTTTTTTTTTTTTTTGCGGTACGCGGGCCTCTCACTGTTGTGGCCTCTCCCATCGCGGAGCACAGGCTCCGGATGCGCAGGCTCAGTGGCCATGGCTCACGGGCCCAGCAGCTCCGCGGCATGTGGGACCTTCCCGGCCCGGGGCACGAACCCGTGTCCCCTGCATCGGCAGGTGGACTCTCAACCACTACGCCACCAGGGAAGCCCTCTCATTGACTTTTCCTTGCGTTATGCGGGCCTCTCACTGTTGTGGCCTCTCCCATTTGCGGAGCACAGGCTCCGGACGCGCAGGCTCAGTGGCCATGGCTCACGGGCCCAGCCGCTCCGCGGCATGTGGGATCTTCCCGAAACGGGGCACGAACCCGCGTCTCCTGCATCGGCAGGCGGACTCTCAAGCACTGCGCCACCAGGGAAGCCCTCTCATTGACTTTTGAATCTTGTGAATTCAGAGTCTTGTCAACATGTTCAGAATTTTTACTTCTGGTATAAAAATAATTTTTTAAAAGTGAAGAGCTTTAATTTTAAAATGTGTCATTATTTTACCAAGGGTCTTAATATCATTATGGGTGAGCCATTGAAGTTGGAGATGAAAGAAAACAATTTGTAAAATCTTATGTTTCCTTCTGATACAGGTTATTATCCTGATTAATAATATTGGAGTGTTTTTATTTTCAACAAACAACTAACTATTATTTCTTTTATATTCTTGAATTTAAAGAAAACTTGGGGCACTAGGTATTTGAATACTAAAGCAGGGACTACTTACTAATTAGACTAGTAATCTAATTATTCAGCTAGGTATTCTCATATCCTACCTATTCCTTAAGTCTTCTGTTTACAAATTGGACCCCCAGGAACCTTAGGAATTTGGGAAAGATGTCTCAAAGCTGAAAGAGTAAAACAGGTGGTGTAATTGAATTATTCCATTATGCCTCGATCACAATATCTTAGATTATATCAAGTTGTTAGACTGAGCTTTTGCATGTGATAACATTTAAAGAAAATATTCTGAAGTTAAAAAGAAAAAGTTTGGAAAACCCTGTTGATTGAAATCCTATCCTTCAATTTTGAAAAGTGATAGTTTTTATTTTCTATGGATTGCTAGAAGTCCATAAACAGAATTCAGTTAACTTACAATTAATGGATTTGATTTTGAAAATTAACAATATATCAGTAATGTTCCAAACTTATCAAAAATCAACAAGACTTTATCAATGAGACCCAACAGGGACATTTAACTATTTTTTATGGTGGCAAGAGTCCCTTGTGTAAACCAGAAAACAGATTTTTTTTTTTGTCCTGAAATATTAAAGAAAAAAAGGATTGAATCAAGCAGTTGATTTTATTTCTGTCCTAATTACTACTGCATTATTAAGATCAAACACAGTGCTTTATTCTTAGCAGACACATTTCTCATCCATAGATGTGGCGGTTTTTTTGCATCACATGATTGGGAAATTTCTGAATTAAGGTTTATCTGACTTTATGTACCCAAATATGCAACCCTTTAGCAATTCTGTTTTAGAGACTCATTAAGATAATTAATAGAGGGCTATTGTATGTGCAAACTTTGCAAGAGCTCCAGATTAGAATAAATCATTGTTCAAATTACTGCTACTAAGAGATCCAACAATGGTGAATAATGGCTCCCCAGTTACTTTCTAACAAAACTGGCCATTTTGTTCTTAATATCATGCCATTGTCTTTCAATTATAATGGTATGTTTTAGGTTCTGGGATTATTACTTAAAACCAATTGTGATGCGATGAGCAACAGTTCCAAATGTTTTTAAAATTTCACACACAGTTCCATAGTTATTTTGGTTATGTTCTTTGAGAAAGAGAGAATAGATCAGAATAAATCTTTAGCTCGTTTCTGTCATATGAATCTCTATATGCCTTCTAGATAATGCAGTGAACGTTAGCAACTTCACTTAGTTAAAACCACTGTGTACAGGTGAAGTTCTGAAAGTTGTTTTTACCTGGTTCATTTCTGTCGTCATAAAGTCGCCGATGGGAAAATGAATCTGTTTTCCTTTTTCCACACAGCAAGTAGCCAACAAGACTAAGCAGTGAAGCTCCCAGAATAGCACCTAAAATGGCCCCAAATACCACTCCTGTATTTCTGTTCTCTAGAGGACAAAGAAAAAATAATTTACAGATAAGAAATAGAAAACAATTATTCAAAGAACAGAAATATATACATGCGGACTTTGTGTAAGCAAAGAATGTTTAACACTTTTTTTTAAATTAGATAATGGATATATATATATACAGAGGAATATATATACAATGTGTGTGTGTGTGTGTGTATTTTATAAAGTACTGAGTTTGGGGGATATATTGGAAAATATGCTTCCTGATAAAACTGTACTTCAGAATTTGAATTATCTTGAAATACTTCTAAGCTTTAGTTTTATAACTATCTCATTACATATTAACACTGATAGTACTGAAATGCCATGTGTTTTCTCTACTAAGATCTAATTTCTATGTTGAATTTTATATTATGTTTTTAATCAACTCTGAATCTCTGATGAACTTTAATGATGAGATAAGCTTTGAGTTTGTTTCTATAATAATTGAAAAGTAAAAAGCTAATGGGAGTAAGTAGGTAATAGGAATTGAATCCGCAAACCCCAAGTGAAAAGGCATTATGAAGAAAAAGAAATATATCCTGATAGAGGGTATTTCCAAATACAACAAATAGACCAAACAAAGCAGGATGTTTGCAGTGCCTTGCACATTGCGAACAGATGTGTAGGTCTGAGTTAAAGGAGTCCAAAATTTCATTCTGTCATCCCCTTTATCAAGAAGCTTATTTGAAGACTAAGTCATCAATAAATCACCGAATGCTTCCTGGATTTATACTTAGTGCATTTTATTTTCAAGTTAAAAAAAAAATTGAGAAGCTTATTAATTAGGTAGGCAAGAGGTCTTATAGGGTCTCTAATTCTATATCAGATTCCATTTCTACACAAAAAACATGTTGGAAGGTCAACAGCAGCACATTTTTTACCAAGATAAAAGTGAAGCAAAGTTAACTAATTAATGAGCAATGGTAGGATTAAGTACTCAGTATTCTCAATATGTATATTAAGTTTAGAAAGACAAAACAAAATAGTTTAAAAAAAATCTTTCTGATGGGATATCAGAGTATGTATGAATGGAAAGATGTCTTAAAAGTATGAAAATATATGTACATACAATATACTGGTTGCAGTACTATAATAATCCTAGATTTCAGAATTTAAAACTTTTCCTGTACACTAACAACAGCTTTCAAATAGGAATTTGTTTATATGATTTGGGGTTTATATCACTAATATAATCTGTAGATAAGTTGTATTGGAAATCAGTGAGTTCATGGGGGGGAAAAGAGGAGTTATTTTTTTTTAATTCAGAAAACAAAAACATGGTTAGACCTGAGAAAATAAAATAGAATGAATTTTCATTAAACATTAGAGATCTTTTCCACTTTATGTTTTAAAGCTTGACTAATCTCTAAATGAAACAGAAATGTCCCCATAACACAATTTTCTTGTGATACTCAAAGCTGAATTCCATTTTTATGGTGTTCAGTAGGTACTGAACTAAAAATTGAGGGTATTCTTCTGTTGAGTTTAAATTTTTAAAATACATATATTTTTATATATTTTTTAAATATATATATTTTAAAATACATATATTTTTAAACTTCAGTTGTATCATGTTCCTAAAAGCCTGTGAAATTTCAGGTCGTCTTTCTGAAATGCAGTAAAAATTGTTACCCAGTATCTCAAAACTGTACCACTACCTCAGTTTCTGTTTCTTTTCAATCTAACCTACTTCTCATTTTGTCCCAGTCTCATCACATTCTCACATTCCCATACAGTAATGGCTAGTCTTTGCTGACTTAAGCCCTAAAATCCCTTCACTATTCACTATGAATATCATGGTTTCTTCCCCCAAAATAAGAACCACCTGTGCTATTGCAGTCTCCTTTTATTCTAGTGTGGTGCATTTCTTAGGTGTAATGACTTATTTGGAGATTCAGTTTCACACAAAAGGAAAATTAAATCCATTTATATTTACCTTCTTGGGGGTCTGATGTATCTGGAAAGATTTTTGAATTATTGGTGAATTTCAAGGTGGGATATAAAGTTGTTTCTTGATAGGCAGTAAACCCCGCCAAGCTATCTCCAGTCACGATAGGCCATCCATCTGTTTCCATTATCATGGGGGTCACAGATATGGTGTTTGACCCTGAAGGGAGGTTGCTAACTGTAATGGAACTGTTGTCAGGAGCTTTCATGGTATCATTGACCGAAGACCGAGTGAAGTTTTCGGAAGATACAATAGCTGTAGTATTGGGAGGTGCTGAGACTGGCAGAGGATTTCCATCTGCTACGGATGAGTTCCAAGGCAACTTAGAAACAAAGCTGTGGATCAAAGGAGGGCTTGGGGAAAGTGTGGGCATGAGTTTGAGACTGGAAGAGTTGTCTGTTGACAAATTACGGTAGAAATCTGTTCCATGGGTTTTATTTGATGGATCCCCAAAAGAGAAATTACTTGCCTTGGGATGGGAGGTTTCTCTATTTTCTTTATCTGAGGTTGAATTTGCTTCCCTTTCCAAAGGAGTAGATTGATTTTCCCTTGTTTTTAAGTCTTCTGCAACGTTCTGTGTTGTGTTTATTTCTCGACCTTTTTCTCCATGGCTTCCAAATAGTAGTAAACTAAACAAAATTGAAATCAACAGAATTTTGACTGAAGTCAACATTGTAATCTTCTTTGGTATTGGTGTTAATAATGAGAATCTGAAAGAAAATAATGACCATTTGAATTGTTAAATGAAGTATTGAGGTTTTTTAAAATGGATCTACATTTTTAAAGTGATAAAAAAAAATCCAGAGACATAATGCTGACATGATAGTACCATACTCTTTATTCCAAAAGTTTGTTTCCTTTGGATTTTATTAAAACTAGAGTTACTGAGTTCTATTTCACTGAGTTCTATTTTCTATATAGTCTTTCTTTCTTTCTCCCTCTGGGAAATGCCATGCAAAATCTTTGTCAAGGCAGACACTACTATTTCATTATTTCAAAGACCATTTAGCTTGGGACAAGTTGAAATACACACACACACACACACGTATTGTACAATATATGGACTACTAAGAAATTTTTAAAAAATAATGTAATATAGGGCTGCTTTCTTCAACCTATTTACGAAAACATGTTCTTTATGAAGATGTAATCTGGAGTATTTATTATGAAAATGACGTTATTGATTATACAGTAAACATACCACTTTAAAGTGAGTCAGTCAGGAACTCCACTTGAAAACATTTTATTAGTTCCTAATTTGAGTTACTTGAATTTGAGGTTAACATCCCTTTTTTCACAGCATGTTTACTTCATGTTACCCTTTTTCCTATTAATCCCAAATAACAGAAAGTCAGAAATACTTTTAGAATTGGGGATTTTTTCATTGCATTCCCTTGTATAAATGAAGAAACTGGTTGTGAGTATGTGTGGAAAAATAGTACCTAACTAGATTGTGGCAGAGTTGAAGTTTGAAACCATGGTTCTGACCTCCAATCTGGGCACATCATTCTGCCTCTTAAGTGTGGAAGCGCCACAATTCATAGAGAGGAGGATATGGGGGAAAGGTTTTGAAATTATATTCATATTTTAATTCTGGTTTCTATCATGAATAACATGTGAAAAATAATCATCATATTAAGCAATTGCTTTATCAATATCATAATTATACTGACTTCACAGTGTTCTGCAGACTAAATGAAATGATTTATGTAGAAGTACTCTAAACAATATCTGGCCTAAAATAAGCAGTTAGTGAATGTTAACTTCCATTTCTTCTTATTAAAATATAATAATACTTCTAAAAATGTCTTACAGTTTATAATATCATCTCATTTGAGCCTCATAATGATCCATTGAGACAAAAAGAGTAGCTCACGTTATCCCCATTTTGCAGATGAAGAAACCGAGGTTCAGAGTGACCAGTAATGGAAGCTAGAAGAAGCAGCACTGAAAGCCAAGTCTACTGACTCCAACCTAATTAGGTGCTAAAATTTAAAGTGTTTTTAATTGAAAAAGGTAAAGAAAATGTTAGACTGTTCCTCTTCAAACAATAAAGTCTGAGAACTGATTTTATGTTCTTTGAATTGGACCTTAGAGCTTATTTTTCACTAAAAGCCTCCAGGATGACTGAGATAAGAAAAGGAAGGAGGTGCAACTGCTATTATTTATGTCTAACATTAATTGCCATTTCTTAAAAGCTCCCCCAGAAATTTTTACAAATATTTTCAACCTTGATGATTTTTCACTAGGGTCTGAGGAGCCTCTAAATTACTCCCTCTGATTATCGTGTGGTTTTAAGTACCCCTCTCCTTGCTTAATGATTACTTACACAGTGGTACAACTTACACGTATCTATAATACATCCTGATATAATATTTTTTTCTCCAAAGACTTGTAGCAAGCAGTCAATACCTGTGGATTTCTAAGGTTTAAAAGATACAGTCATTTCCATGCCCTGTGCTTATCACTTAAGAAAGTTCTACTTAAAAAGCAAGCAGGCAGACATACAAGAACATTCATAAGGGCATTATTTATGTGTCTCCAACCTAAACATCCACCAGTAACAGGTTGGATAATAAACTGTTTAACATTTGCACATGAAAAATAAACGAGATTCACAGATGAGTTGCATACAGTAACATGAGTGATTATCACAAATATCATGCAGAGCTTAAAATGCCCGTTGTACTGTATGATTGCATGTTTATAAAGTTCAAAAACTAGAATGTTAAAAGTCAGGAAAGTGGTTACTTGTGGGAAGGAAGGAGACAGTATTGATTGGGTGGGCATGAAAGGGACTTCTGTGTGCTCCTAATAATCTGTTTCTTCACTTGGTAGGGATTATATAGGTATTTGCATTTGTGATAATTCTGTTTATTTATATTTCATTCACTTTTCTGTGATAATCAAGAAAATTCATTTAGATCCTAAAAATTGTTAACATAATTGGAAAACATATTACTAGTATGCATCTATTACATCAGATGCTTTGCATGTTTTCTCATTTAATTCTTAACAAAAACAATCAAACAATAAGGAAGGGATTATTAATCCTATTTTACAGATAATTAAATGGGACATAAAAAATGTAAATAATGTATTCAAGGACACATAGCTAGTGGCTGAAAGATAGGGTTAGGATTCAGACCTTGGCATTAAAAGCTAGTAATCACTCATCTATGTAACAAAAGTTACAAAGGAATATAGAATTTGGTAATCAGCTGGTTTTTACAACTCTTCCCACAAAAGTTTTCTTAGCACAGAATAATAAAGAATAATGGAATCCTCCAAATTTTATTTTAACCAGAGCAGGTGATAATCCCACATTTTTAAACACTAGAAAAATAGTGACTTCTCCCTTAAGTGCCTCTTAAACATACTAAGTACACTTTTATCCTAATTTAAGAAAATCCCAACAATTGTCTCCATGGTTTCTAGATAAACACTTTTACCATGTAATTTACAGATTAACATTAACAACACAGGAATGATTATCCCCAGGACCTGAAGTTCACCAATATTTCACTAAACTGTTGCTTCACCTAGCACACTTAAAATACAATTCAGTTTAGTTTAAAAATAGTACATGGACCTTTTCAGAAACAGCTCTTTCCTGTGAACTCTGTCAGTTTCATAGCAAACGTTCTAACCTTTTTCATTGTCTACTGCCAGTGATCTGATTTGTTTATGCATTGCACTTGGCCACCTGTCTTATTGTTAGGCAGTTTGATTGCTTTCCCTAAACCTAGGCTTTCTGGTTATTTTCTCTTCCTAAAGAAGTGGTTACCAGAGGGGAGCAAAAAACAACCCTTAGCTTTTCATCTAATTTTCTCATAATGTCACATGAGGAACGTGGCATAGAGCTTTTGCTCCCTTCCAGTAATGAGAATCCACATACCAAGAGTCAACAAAGTGAGTTTTGTTGTTCCTGTTTCACTTTGCTTGTAACATGGAACCACCAAGGGGATCTTGCTACCCTTTACCCAGCTTGTGATTGTAACTTGAAAACCTAAGGTATCAACACCACCAATGAGCCAAGCATTCTGTTACTGCCTATAATTCATTTCCAGGGAAAAGAGAGAAAGGGAAGAGTGGGATAAGACAGTATGTTGTGAAGGCTCTTTGCCATTTATTCCAAAATTAATACAGTTGTGGGAAAGGCTTTTGTGAATATTGACTCGTTCCTGCTGTCCTAGCTTGGCAGCTGGGGACAACTTTGCTTCTGCTCTCTGGCTTCTAAGAGAGCCAGGTTACACCTCTTACTCAGGTCCATTCATCTTAAAGGGACAGAAGCAGCCAGGAATTGAAGCCATCAGCTATTCAGAACCCCAGCCCTGGATTTTTGCTGGGGCAAGAACTAGGCAATTTTGGTTAAGTTTGACCCCATTCTGAATTGAACCAAGCACATTATAAGCAGGGAAGGTTAATGGAAGTGGTACAGAAGCTCCAGAGGACAATAAATGTACGCTGTATTCTTTATCTTTACCCTTTTCTTGCAGCCTCTTTCCATCTCTAGAGTTGAGATATGTAAACTGTGTGGTATATTTGTGTGTAAAGCTATGCTGGATGATGGATGGCATGCTTCTGTGTTCCCAAGATTCATCAGTCAACCAGGTGCACAGTAGAGACAGAATGTGGGGATGAAAGAAAGTGAAATTGGAGAGAGAGACAGAGACAGAGAGAAAACCAGGAGGACCAGGCAGCATCATTTCTTCTGTTCTTTGCCCCTTCTTGCCCCTAGGTAGAAATTCCTAAGAGGACTTTTCAGGATGTAACCTAGGAACAGAGATAAACTCATTACAAACTTGAAAAACTTCAAAGATGAGAATTATTATAAAGGGGACAGAAAGAGAGAGGAGGATTTCCATCCAATTTGTGATACCTGAAACAAAGATTCTAAATCTTTCTGTATATATTGAAATGTTTTTATTGTTTCTAAAGTTCAGTAACTTTTAAAACATACTTTTGGAGAGTGTGAGTTTCACTGGTTTTTTTAAAAAAAATAATTCGTCTATACAAAGAAAATGAAAACTATTTTCTCCCCTGTCTTTGGTGTTGGCACTAAAAAGTGGTTTCACATTACTACTTTTGTATAGAGGGCTTCAGGAGGTGGTGAGAGGGGAAAACAAAACCAAACAAAACAAACCCCCAGAAACCTGTGGCCACTAAGGAAAGAAAATCCACACTTACTGTGCATAAAATTGTTCCTCCTTAAGTTCGTAAGCTTATTATTCTGCCCAGCCTTCCTGTTGTAACCGAGTCATACCCATTTTATACCAAGCTTTAAAAATAAGGAGGTACCCTGGTTTCTATCAGGTAATCAACCCATGCAAGGGAAGAGAAATGCTAGTCATTCTAAACTAAATCAAAATCAGAAATTTTAAATAAAAACATTACTTTAGCTGCACTGGGGAGATAATATAAAAACATGTGTCTGTAGTGAAATAACTAAAGAGTATATTCTGTACCACTTCTCTCTCAGTTGCCTGTGATCATTCTTCTTACAGGTTTTTTCTGGCTAAAAATTAAGACAGATGAGTTTTGTTTGTCTTTGTCATAGGAAACTCAGTCTGACGTGTAGCCAATATCCCAGGCAGAACTTGAGTGTTACACTGAGTGGACTTTCCAATCTTGGACAGTATTTTGCTGTCCCTAGATGAAAGAACCACAGTAAATGAAGACATAAGGAATTATGCTTCTCAAAATGCCTCTTTTATAAGAGGGTTTTGAAAGGGTGTGAAGATTTAACTAGTCAGAAGGTAGGATTATACCTGAGGACCCACATCATTTCACTTTATTTGAGTTTAAAAGAAAGACACGAATAAAAGGAAAAACATGACTTTCTTTCAGGAAATAATACATTTCAAAAGTTTGTGATCATTTTAATTAAAAGACTGAGGAATGCATAAGCCCAGGAAAATAGATAGAATGTCACAGTCCCTGCTAACTTGGGCATTCTCAGTCATAAACTTCAATACTGAAATAATTAGGTGGAAGAGTGTTAAGCTTAGAAAGATTGTGTCTCCAAAAGAAATATTCTGGACCCAAATTTCCAAACATGGGGTTTTCAGCCTTCTCTCGTGTTTCACTATCTGTAGAAGCATGCTCTATGGATTGATTAGAAAGTGTTAAACAGTAAATCAGCATCCCTTTAATAAGAGAAGCCTTACACAGAACAAACAAAATAAATTTAAGAAACTTAATCCACATCTTTGATCCATGGGATGTCTTTTGCAGCCACTGGCTTAGCCTTTTAGGTTTCCATTGAGTGCTATACATGTACACACACCGTGATAAGTAAAATAATACATAGACATCACTTTGCCAATTTTTAATTAAGAAAATCTTTGGGAAAGATATACAGAAGGTTAATAATTCATTGCATTAGCAGACTGTGTTTCAAAAGCTACCATATTCTTTAGCAAGAACCTTTGAACCAAATGCATACTTTAAATCTAAACATTCATTTATATTCACGTAGCCACTTCCACTTTAAACATTTTGAAACTTACTAATATCTGACTTAAGAAAACTCTCTCTTGTAGTCACTTACGTTTTAAGCAAGGTTTTTATTTAACTCTTCAGCCGGTTTCATCATCTAGCAAATTTGGCAATAATTCTTAAAAGTTAACTCACTTAGCACAAATGCTCATTTGGAAGGTAATTACTTAATGAAACAACTACCTGTCTTTACAAGGGTCTCTGTAGGTACTTGCCAGGCTGTTCTGCCAAAAGTTCAACTTGCTTTGATTCTATTTGGTAAATAAGAGAGAGCGCGAGAGAGCAAGAGAGCGAGAGAGCGAGGGATGAGGGACTAGGGATCCTATGTAATCCAGCACACACTTACCTTCAGGTCTAGGAGGTGTTTACAGACAAGAACTGGAGTATCACAGCTGTTCTGGCTGGAGTGAGTCTGTCTTGCATTAGAGAAAGCAGATGGGTTAGGTGTACTGATGTCCCACTGAGCAGGAGGGTGCCAGAGAAACAAAATTAGGTGGGGCTGGTCGTATCTTGCTTGTGTAATAGAGCACCCAAGAACCTGACTGACCTGCTTCTCAGCTGTCAGCATGAAGCTATCACCTCATTCAGGCCTTTAAAAAAAAAAAAAAAAAGCCCAACCCTCCAGCTTTCATAGGTTGGGTGCTTTGACTTTCAGGACAGGCTAGTTCTCTTAAGTGTTGGCAAACAAAGGACATACATTTCTTGCCTTAACTGAAAAAAAGAAAAAAAAAAAAAGGACAAAGACTTTGGTAACGGTTCTTGCTCTATCAGGAATTTCTGACACATGCTGGGTTCCCCCTTCGCAGGTGAGGAAACCAAAATGAGTCAGCCCTGCACCTGTTGCTCATGTGCCAGCCACATACTGTTTTCCTAACACATAAACAAATCTTTCTTTCCCGTGGTGGGGATGCCCTATTTGTGTACTTAGTACCTGAATGGAGAAAGTGGTGTCTGCAGTGCACTGAAACTGGATTTATAGAAAGTCACACTTAACACCAAGTGGATTAATATGCATCGGATCCTTGAGAAACATGTGAAATATTAAGTTAGAAATCATGACCAGGACTTTCGGAAGTTTGGGGAGTAACTGGAGTCTGGCTGAGAATGGCCATGTGATCCTGAGTAATCCTGGGAGCCTGCTCAATTAAGTAGTTTCCATCCTGTGTTCTCTTTGCTTTTCCTCTCAATTTAGAAGCCCGAGAGTTTCAGAAGAGCCCGAGTAATGCTTGATTAAATACTAGCGTTGAATAACAACCTGGCATACTTCCTTCACTTCCTTTCAACGCTTATGAAAGGGAGAGGAGTGAAACTGCACTTTCTGGGAGATTCTGCACATCAATATTTGGGGACTGGCGCCAAGGTCTGTTCAGCTCAGTACGCCTGAGGTTCATGCTTAGTTTCTGTTGCGCAAGGAGATAGGTTTCCAACTGCTGAGAGAGAAAATGAAACTTTAGCTAAGGTTCAGGAGCCTCAAATTGAATGCAAAGAATCTGCCCAGTTAATTGGCCCCAAGAAAGAACAAGGTAATTCTATAGTTTCAAACTTTCTGAAGCCCAAAGGCCCTTCAGAGTTTGATTAGAAATGAAGTCAAACCCTAGCAAATATTCACTCAAAAGATATTTAAGCTGTATCTGCACTAGTATGAAGAAAAGCAAGTTCAGTCTAATCAAATAACTGTTTACTGAACAATGGCTTAATACAAATCAATTGGTTATTTTCAGATTAGCTAGTTACTAGGAAAAAATCCAACTGAATAAATATTTTGTGTCTGTACTTAGAGAAATGAACATGACTTAGCAGGATTGGGTGTACCATACCCTGAGGGATTTTCCTAGATATGCGTGTGAATATCATTACCACTTTCTACTTAAGCATAGTAATTATGGCCTATACCAGGCAAGGAAATTACAAAGCACTTTTGCTACAACTCTGCTTTCACTGCCACAAGAGTCAAAGTTCATCTCCAATGACCCTCTTTTCTGAAGACCCGAGGTGTAGCCTCAGAATCCTTTTCATTACTGCCCTCCTGACAGCCTTAACCAATTGATTAGAGCTGACCCTAGAGATACACCTTATTTACCTTTCCTGTCATGAGCACATCTGGAAGTAAACTTGTAAAATGAAAACTATGCATAAATTTAATGCCTCACTTATTACTTAGCTCACTTAGTTGTGATCAGACACCTTTATGGAAGCACCTGAGTTGGAGTTAAAAAGTAATTTCTTGCCAAACAAACAAGTCTTGCCGAGATACATTTCCAGGTATATACCATGATACCATGTTCTGGGTAAGACCAATCCCATTTTGGACCTTGTTTCTCCAGAGGAACTGAACAATAACTGATCACCTGACAACTTCATCACTCAAGCCAGCTGAGATGACACATTATGCAACGGTTACATAATTTTTGTTGTACTTACCTTCTATGGAGGCTTTCATCTGGAACTCTCCAATTGCTTTACACCCATTAATTAAACCTCACAATACATAGTGGAAGAACTACTGCCTCTTTGCCTGAAATGGTGGAACCACTCACCAGTGGAGTTTCCAGAACATGAAGTCACATTATTGTCTCTGATGGATCTGAAAACAGAACCAGAATGTAGCTTGGCACCATGCCTCAGATAAAACTGAAATATTGTTCTGGATCCAAAATGGTATCTTATTTTACAAATCCTATGACACCATTTTGGTTCCAGAACAATGTTTCGGTTTTACCTGAGGCATGGTCCCAAGCTACATTCCGGTTTTGGTTTCAGATCCATCAGTGACAATAATGTGACTTCATTAATCGAAGCCTCGAAGAGCTAGAGAGTTGAGGGTATATGCAAGTGAGTCTGTATAATGATTGATCAATAGGATACACAGAGAAGAAAGTGAGGGCACAAGGGTAGGAAAGGACAGTGAAAATGTGCTGGAGAGAATGGATTGAAAATCTGGGTCAAAAGTTAATGGATTGAAAACATCTGGGCCAAGGGATTACTGGAATTGGAGTTTATAGGGAGTGAGCTACAAGGATGGAGGTGATAATTGGAGATTATGGAGGGTTTGGAGTCGATCAAAATGATGCCATGGGAGGACCAAGCATAAGGTAGAGTAGGAGGAAACAGCTCTGAAGATAAACATCAAAGAACTGAGAAGCCAAGATACTAGAAATATTATCTGTGTATGTTGTAATTTCAAAATTTTATTTTGGGAGTCATGTTGATAAGAGTTACCCTTAGCCAAGAGTTGAAAAACTTTTAGAGAATTTGAGGAAGTGTTCCAAAGGAGTGGTAAATGACTTCCACAAAGAGAGACAGTAGGAAGTATGGATTGATAATATGAGACTCAAATCTGTGACTCTTTAAGGAGAAGGGAGAGAAAAAGCCTTGAAGCAGCAATGAGGACAAGAAATTCACTACCTCATCTTCGACACAAATAGCCATCACCTGAGATTGCCACATAGAAAGTGAGGTTTCAGGAGTGTCCCAGGTTTCAGTTAAGCAAGGAGGTGAGGGAACATTAAAGACTTTGCTATTAATGACTTTGAATAAGAGGGCCTAGATGAAAGCATCTCAAATAGTTGGGAAGGAGTGGGAGAGGATCACAAAGACAATTCCCATTTCCCTAGAACTAGAGGATTAAAATCTGAGTAAAGAATGATCTGGAAATTCTGGTCTTCTTGAAGTAACTGATATGTACACAGTTAAGGGGCAGAATGAATTAGTCCTGAGGGACCCACTTGTGAGTGATGACAGAGGGAAAGGTGTATGTGTAGGATATGGGGATGGGGGCATCTTGCCAAGATGGAGAGTTCTGGGCTCCCTCTAGACTCCTGCTGATAGACGAGTTCTGAAGGGAAGCCTCTTATTGCTGGCACCTAAAACAATTTTCCAACCCTGCAGTAGCTGACTGCTGGGAAATAATATTGCTCTCTTTAACAAGTACATGATATTCCATTGTGTGGAAGTACCACACAACTGATTCATTCCTGCATGATGGAGTATTCTGTTATACAAGTTTGCATCTTTTAGAACTCTGATTTCATTACAGAGTCTAACCTCATTAGATCGCTATTGCCCAGTTTATCAACTATGTAATCTATTTTGATATGAACTTAATTAAATGAAGTTACAACTATGTTTAAATATAATAAAATGGCAAAACTGGAAGATTGATAATATTATAACTTATTTTGCCACCTTTAGGAAAAGATCCAAGTGATTTATTAACCCTTTCTAAAAAAAAAAAAATCAAGGTGCGTAATTAGATAATCCTGTTATTTCTAATTTTTTTTTTCTGGTTCGAAAAGTTAGAATAACTAAGTAATAACCTTGTAGCAACAGAGTTTATTTGCTGAGTGCTCTCAGCACTGAGCCATGACTTGGAGAGGGTCAGAGTGAGGAGAGAAGGAGATGCCTAGGCTATAGGTCTGTACACTCTGAAGAAGAATCTAGATTGGTTCCTTGGCTCAAAAGCAGGGGCAGAAGAAAAATCAAACGCATTCATGACCTGAAGGGGATTTTGGCATCAAGTTCATGGGCAGAAAATAACAATAAGTGGTTTTCTCATCCATTTAGAGGACTATAAACAACATAAACATTTTGTAGAGGACAATGAAAACACATTAAGTTTAACTAAGCTGACAGTTCTAGAAGCTCTTAGCTACAGAAAAGGGAAGACATTTTTGTGTTGTATCAGGAGAGAATCCTTATTTGATTTTTAATGGCATTTGCAATCAAAACATTTATTGTAATCTACATTAAAATTCCAGTATCCTTCTTTTACAGAAAAAGACTTTCAAGGAGTATGAATGCATTTTATACAAGGTTGAAGAACTTTTTAACGATTGGCTGATCAAAAGGGGGTGAAATGCCTTTTCCGTAATACATTTTTAATTGATGTAGTATTAACGTATAAAAATCATGTGGCCAAGCATTTTTTCTTTTCTTTATAAACAATATAATTATATTAACTTAAGAAAGTTAGTTTTTATCATTTCTCAATAACAATTAAGTTCAAACATTGAAAAAGAAAATCCTTATAAAAAAACACCTAGGGTTGTTGTAAATCCCCTCTTTGAATGAATACTTCAAAGTTTAAAGTTTAAACCAGTACAGTATAATCATTTCTTGCACATGGAGCTGTTGTGAGGATTTCATGAGTAAATATGTGAAAAACATTTAGTAGGATGTCTGACACATATGTGTCTGATGCACGATAGCTATTCATTGGAAGGAAATACACAATTTTGGAATCTCTCTTTAAGAAAAGGATACAAAATTATGAATATAAAAAGAGATACGAAAGTAAATGGAACAATCAAAAATTTACAAACTTTAGAAAGCTTAAAATACTACATAAAATCAAAATCCAGAAAAATAACAGTATTTTAATCACTAGATGCCTGACACATCTCTGTAGTGCTTTTTCTCTTACACTTTTATCCATATTTTTTATTATCTCTGCATATGATGTTTAAAAAAGTATTTCACAGAAAGAATAGAGAACTAATTCAGTCTTTCCTCTTCCTCTAGCACAGTTAATTGAAAATTTTTTATTATTATTGGCAGTTTTGAAAATCT